CTGTGGGGGTTCCACTTCCGAATTCCCAGGGAAAGGCTCTGGCCTGGTTTCAGCCGCAGCTGGAATCTAGTTCACGGTTATGTGAACCAGATTGTCTCTCTCTAAACTGAAACATTTCCCAGAAAAGTTGGACAGACTGCAGGTTTAATAGTAATACCTTATGTAACCTCTAATAATCCTCACAAATTTGATTAGTTATCTTTGATTTTTTTTTTTTAGCATACAGAATAACTTTAAAGAATGATCTGGATGGGTCATAGTTCTTCCAGTGAAGGAATTGAGAGGCATACTTGTCTTATTTGTTGGTGACTAACTGGGTTCGTTCATTACATGTCTCTTTTTGTCATTGCAAAGCATTTTCACGAGTAATGACTGACCCAACATTTTCTCCTTTACCTCTACCCTGCTGTTCAATTTATTCAAAACTGGATTAGTGTCAGAAAAAATAAAGGCCATCTGGGGAAAAATACACTTGTTAGAGTATTTCGCACTGAATTGGAAAGCCATAAAAGCCATTGGTAGGTAATTAGGACTTTAAAAAGGAGCTACAAAACAATTTTTCTAAAATTCGGAAGAGAGTAGCATGGCCTCCCTCTGTTGTCATTTGTATTTAGACAAGTGTGGGAGTGCCAAATAGATGCATAATGATTGTGAGAAATGAAGGCTCAGGTTAATTAGAGCTGAAATGCTGCAACAACGCAGACGAATACCCAAGGAGAAGGCCAGATCGAGACGTGTCTGTGTATGCATGTGGGTGTGTGTGCAACTGGCAGACGGTTTTTCAGTGCTCAGGCCATGTTGGGGAACCGTGAAAGTCAGTGTGGAAAACACAGAACTTGTAGACTCAGTCCCAGAGTTCAGAAAGCTTAGAGGCCACCCTGGGAGAAAGTCCTAGCCTAGTACCAGGCACATAGACTCCCGCAGGTTGCCTGGAATGGTCAGCGGGGACACTGATGAACACCTGCCGTGGTGCCTCCTGGGAATCCTTCTCAGACTTCCTGTTGTTTTAATGTAATGTAGTACAGTAACAGAAGAGGTGACATACGGTGAGGCCAACAGATCGGGCGGTGGCTGCCAGTGAAAAGATAAGTGTTGCAGGTCCCAAGACTGAGGGGTATGCCACATCATGAGGGGGCCACATGGGGAAGCACCAGGTTCGAGGAGTATCTGGAAACAGAGGGAGCGCCAGAGGGAAATGGGGGCAAGAGCCTTTATTGTGGTTTCTGTGGGAAGGGATGGGTGAGGCGGGCCAAGCAGGTTTAGGATTTGCTGAGTAATTACAGCAGGCTTTGGGGCATAATATTGTCCCTAGATGTCTGGTCCCTAGCACTGGGACGCTTAGAGCAGGCGGACAATGGCCTGGGGTGTGAGAGCAGAGATGTGGGCTCTGGGTTGGTGGGTTTGCATATGAAAGGTGAGCGCCTGGGTGAGTTTTGCTAGCTCTAGGAATTGGCTTAATTCTGGGAGGAGCAGTCTGTCCAGTCCAGGGACCTACGTCTGCCTCCAAGATGTCAAAGTATCAGAAATACAGGTATAAAAGACAGGGTTAATACACCTCTACAGAGTGAAGCTTTTCTCTCTTGTGTCCTAATAACATCTTCAGCAAGCCTCTGGGTCAGCACCTTCAGTGGGGCTGCCAGGGACCCCTGGGGCCTCCCGGTACCCACAGCGTTAAGTCAGCAGTTCACTGTGTGACACGAGAGGGGGATGTCTTAAATATGAAATGGAAGGACTTGGCCGGGGTGGGTGGGCTGTCAGAGCAGGGTATGAGCCCTTCCAACTGAGAACGTCAGGAAAGTCTTGTGTGCATTTTCGAGCCTCCCTGTGTGGCAAAGAGCCTGTGCTAGCTCCTACCTGTGCCCTAATGAATGACAGGCATATCTGATATTGGGGAACTACCCAGTCCAGGGAAAGAGAGGAGGAAGGTATCAACTAGCTGTGGCCAGGTTTGGGACATGCTGGTGGGACCTCTGTGTGATACGTGTATCATTAAATTTGTATGTGTTTGAATAATTGTAGGTCCCAAGAAATGTGGGTGGTAAGCTGGGGAGGTGCTGTACTGGCAAGTTTTCTGGGCATGTCCGCGGCCTAAAAATATGGGAAAAGAGTGACATTTATCCTAAATAAATACAAAATGAATGTGGAATAGGGGAATATTATATGCATAGCCTTCAGCTCCTGAATCTTATATTTACCCCGAACTCTTACAAATCCCCCTTTTGAGAAATGATTTAAAAGCTAATTCATGCTTGGGCCAGTTTCACAAACCAGCATTACAGGCAGACCACCCATGAATTCAGATTCTTGTAGAACATCCAGTTCAGTAGCTTACCTGCGCAGTCTCTAGAAGTGTTTGCCATTGTACCCCTCCCCCCATGTCGCTCTGTGCTGCTTTGTAGACATCATGGGCTTTGTGGCTTAATTTTCTTCTCCATTTCATGGCGCGAGTCCCTGTTGATCAGTTTTCAGTATTTTTCTTTCCACACTCTATGCTTTTATTAAGTTTATCAATGATATTTTTTTTCCTTATGACGAATTCTAGTTTTCTAGTTCATGCTATTGTGATTAGTTACCATCCTGTTGTTCTAAAGGATTCTCCCAGAAAGTCATGACAACTCACAGTAAATCTTACATTTTTGCCTTGAGACTTGGAGATCTAGAATTTGCATATTTTAGCACTCCTTCCTTAAGTGTGTCCTTTTTCTTTCACATAATTTTTATACAACTGTTGTTATGTATTTTCTTTGGTCTAGCTTTATCATCTGCTAAGTAAACTGTTGCTTTTTTATTATAATAGGAATAATAACATTATAGCAACATGTAAGCTATCATAAAACTAATATAGTCAGTCACATTTTTTGAATGCCACCAAAAGCCAGGCTATTCTAAATGATTTATATAGTAATAACTCATTAGATTCTCACTCTCTAAGGTAGGTACTGCTATTATCCCCGTTTTACAACGGGGAAACAGAGGCACAGGGAGGTGAAGTGATGTGCTATAGGCAATATACCTAAGTCAGTGGATGAAGTAGGATTTGAATCTGAAAATATGGTTAGTATATTGAACTATCACCTTCATGGACATTAGACAGAAATAGTCAAAAACATTGGATAATTGAACAGAAATTTTCCCACTTTTGCGTTCCTTTGTTTTATTCTCCACATTACCACAGGACCCTTATTCACCCTTCAGATTTCAAGTCAGCAGTCATGTCCTGCATCCACCAGAGGCTGCCCATGACTCTGCAGACAACTCAGCACCCTGCCCCCCAAAATGGTTCTCTAACCCAGAGTTCATTAGTCTGTGTGTTTGGATCAGTGTCTTGCTTCCTCATAGAATAGAGCTCCACTGGGGGAGGGACCTTGTCTGCTTTTATTCCCCATTGGGTCCTTGTTACTCCCCATCCTGCTGGTAGGTTGTAGGTGCTCGGTAAGGATTTATTAGGTGCTTGAGCAAAGATTTTAAAGAAAGGGGAAAGAAAGGCAAAGATTTATTACATGCTTACACATTCCAGGTTCTTTAGATACAGGGTACCGTTCAGTTATCCTACCCATTGGGAAAAAGTTTTACCTCAAGTAACAGAAAACCCAACTACAGTGGTTTAAGCAAATAGGATATTATTTGTCTCGCATAACAAGAATTCCAGATTGGCATTTCAATTTCAAAGTTCGACTGCTAACCAGTGTCCTAGGCTTTTCTGTTTCTGTTCCTACAAGTTGGGCAATATGATAATCTTGTCAAAATGACAGTAGATCCCAGTCGTTGGATTTTCTACTGTTGTATGAGCAGTAGATTGGTTGCATAAGCAGTAGGTTTGAAACTCTATATGCCTCCTTAAACAAAAAGTTGAGATTTTATGTTAATTTATAATGTACTTCTTGAGGAGAGAAGTGAAAAGAATTGCCAGGACATTGGGGAAGGCTCTCCTGAAAGGTCTGGTGATCCTTCACCTTCCATTCTTATTTACGCCTAAGGCATCAAAAGCTAATGGGGAATTGTGTGGGGAGAGATTATTGGCAGGTTGTAACGGTAGCGTGACCTGGTTGCATTTTCCATAGGGAGAAGCCCTGGCTCAGTGTCCATGTTCCTAGATCTTTTCTTTTCCAACAATCTGGGGAGAATGTCCTGATCTCTTTGGGTGGAGAGTGAAAAGCAGCCAAGTGGAGAAGCGAGCTAGGGAATGAGGGTATGGGGAGCAGCTCTGTCTTATATTCAGTGTAGACTTTGAGTTACTACTCTTGGCCTCAGTGCATTTCCTACCCTAACCTTTAGCTATGTTTTGTTTCTCAAGTAAAAATTCTGGAATTCACCAGAAAGTAAAACAGCTGGGTGCAGTGGAGTAAGAGCAGCCTGGGGATGGAGAAGGAATTTGTGAATGGATTTTTAAAAGCCAGCAACCCTCTTTTCATATTCCTCCTTGTAGAGCCTTGTAGTACATCTCGTTCATTATCTGGTTCATCATACATCTATGGATCCATCCTCCCCCCACCCCTGTTTCATGGATACATGGCACCGCCTGCTCCTGAGCCTTTGCTGGGCAGGGTGGGCAAGGTTCTGTGGTTCGGGCGGGCTCACTTCCTGTCTCCCTTCATTTCAACCCGGCTATGCCTTTTCTGTGTCTTAATCTGGTTGGGCTCGTCCAGGTTTGGGCTGCTGTGTCCTTTCCTGCCCTTAGCATTTTTGGGCTTATGCCTTTTTTATTCTCTTTTCATTTTACTAGAGAAGAAAGGAAGGTAAAAATGCATGTATTCAGTCGTTCATACTTTACTGGAAATCTTGCTTACATTATCTTTCTATAGAAGTAGGATTGTACTCTCTATCTTTGAAATCGATAAAGTTTATGTAAGTCATTCAACATCTGTTGTATATTTAGTGGATTTATGTAGAAAGGGTAATGAAAATTCTTGGGAAGGAATCAACTTTCAAGGGAATTAAGAATCTAAATTTGTTAAAATGTGAATATGAGCTTTTTTAAAAAATGTCTTTTTAATTTTCAGATTGTGAGCCATGCCTTTAGTGAAGAGGAACATCGAACCCCGGCACCTGTGCCGGGGAGCCCTGCCTGAAGGGATTACCAGTGAACTTGAATGTGTAACCAATAGTACTCTTGCTGCTATCATACGCCAGCTAAGCAGTCTAAGTAAGTCATCCCGTTTCTAGAACACCTGTTTTCTGATGACCAGTGGCATGTTGTTAACTTTACCATTAGCAGATTGCTTTCAATTCAGTAGTTAATTTTGTCTGAAGAAGAGACCGCAACTTTGAAGGACCAACAACTTTGAAATCCCACTTGCCCAGTTTTCCCAGTGTGAAATAAATCACTGGTCTCATGATACCAACTTTATGTGCTGAAGATGTAAAGTTAGAATTGACCAATTTACAAATTATTAGATAAGACCAAACGTGTAGATTCGAAGTAGTGTCAATTTTTAAAACCTTATTAAATGAGGATAAAATGTTGATACTTTTTTTTTTAATGTGAATTATTTTAAGCTTGGACAGGACTAATTGTTTTCTTTTAATGTGATAAATTGTTAACACTTGTAACATGTCTGGCCTAGAGTAGATGCCCAAATATTTGTTGATTAAATAATATTCCAAGTAAATTGAAGATTAAAGCCAAAAATAGTGAGATTTGCTGATTTGAACCTAAATGTAGGGACTAACTTCCAAATTGAGGTCAACAGATAAGCTGCTGATTATTTTATATATATATATACACATACACACACACACACACACACAATACTATGTATATATTACATATTTAGATTTTATAAATCCAAGCAAATATAAGGAAGAAAGGACTTTCTATTATTTTTTAAAAAGATTTTATTTATTTGAGAGAGAGAGAGAGAGAGTGCATGAGCAGGAGCGGGGCGAGGGGCAGAGGGAGAGAGAGAAGCATTGGCTCCTTGCTGAGCAAGGAGCCTGATGCGGGGCTTGATCCCAGGACCCTGAGATCATGACCTGAGTCGAAGGCAGACAGTTAACTGACTGAACCTCCCAGGTGCCCCAGGACTTTGTATTATTTTAATTTTGAACATTAATGTGAAATACTCAAGAAATAGTTTTTTTTGGGGGGGAGGGGCAGAGGGAGAGGGAGAGAGAGGATCTTAGGCAGGCTCCATGCCTAGCGTGGGACCCAGCAGGGGCTCAGTCTCACAACCCTGAGATCATGACCTGAGCCAAAATCAAGAGTCGGATGCTTAAGTGACTGAGCCACCCAGGCGCCCAGAAATAGTTCATTTCTGAAGACTCGGATATACATGAAAATGCATTTTCCTTCAAAGCTTTTTGCAGTTGGAATGTTTTCCCCCAAACTTTTACATTTATATCATGATCTTGTTTTCTCACTTTGTCCCACTCCTTTTTGGTTTAGATGCATTTTGGGTGACAGGTTTTCACAGTTAAGTTTTTCAGAAACTGCTAATAACTTAGAAAAACCTCCATGATTTCACATACCAGTAGCCTCAAGCACAGGAAAATGTTTGCTAAAAATGTTCAAGTGCTTTTATTTAAATTCTGAAGAAGAAACACTTTGGATAAGTATTTCTCTTTAAAGGAATTGTACTGTGTTGTTATATTTTTAATATATAATCATTGGCTGAGGCAAAAGCAATTTGGAATTTACTTACAATGTGTTTTAAAATAGATTTCTTTTGGAATCTAAACTAATTACAATTGATTTTGGGTAGTGGTTGTTGATAAAATGTATAAATTGGTGTAATTATAGGAAAATAGCTTGTAAATTATTGAAGTGTAAAAATGTTTCTGTTTGAATTCATATATTTATAAGAATGCTTGGTCTCTTGTTTTTATGGCTGAAATGCCTATTGATGTGGAGTATAAGAGATGAAAACTAACATAAATGGTTAAAGTTTTAATAGTCAAGCTGTATCTCATCCTGTAATAACACTCAGCCGAGTGTTATGTTGGTCGTGTTTCTGTGAGTAAAACCCGACACACAGTATTTTCTGCCTATTATTATGGAATAATAGGCAGAATAATAATGTCTCCTCCAAAGATGTCCCTCTCTTAATCCTTGGAACCTGTGTGACATAATGGGGAAGTGAATGTTACTAAGCAGCTAATCTCAAGAGAATGAGGTTAGCCTGGATGATCCAGTGTAATCCCAGGGTTCCTTTAAATGTGGGAGGAGGAGGAACCCATGTCAGAATGATGTGATGTGAGACTGTCATCTGTTGCTGGCTTTGAAGATGGATGAAGAGACTACAGGCCAAGGAATGCAGGCCATCTCTGGAAAGTGGAAAAGGACAAGGAAATGGATTCTCCCCTAGAGCCTCCAGGAGGAACACAGCTCTGCCCAAACCTTGATTTAGCTTAGTGGAATCCATTTCAGACTTTTTTTTTTTCAATTTTATTTATTTATTTGACAGAGAGTGGGAGAGAGAGTGAGAGAGAGCACAAGCAGGGGGAGTGGCAGGCAGAGGGAGAAGCAGGCTCCCTGTTGAGCAGGGAACCTGATGTGGGGCTCGAACCCAGGACCCCGGGATCATGACCTGAGCTGAAGGCAGACGCTTAACTGACTGAGCCACCCTGTCATCCCTCCATTTCAGGCGTCTAACCTCTAGAATGTGAGATAATTAATGTGTGTTGTGTTAAGCCATTAAATTTGTGGTCATTTGACACAACAAGGAAAAGCAGCAATAGGAAAGTAATGTACCACCCAGGCTTGGTTTCATGGCGTCCACCTAATCCACTTTTGCCTCATGAGTGGACCAGCGATGGGCACTGGCCTCAAGGACAGTTGGCCTTAGTTAGGCTACCCCGGTGGGTCTCAACCCTGTCTCTGTTAGAGTCACTGGGGGAGCTTTGAAACAAGATGCTAGGAATCCCCCGAGAGAATGATTGGAGTGTGCCCTAGAGATGTGATCTGCAGAATCAGATACCATGTATCTGGATTGAAAAGATGAGCTGGGTCAGTCCTGTGCTTGCAGCAAGTTTGAACTAAGAAACACAGCTTGCTAGTCTGTTATGGGATCTGCTGCTGAAATGTCACCCAGGACTGAAGTAGTGATGGCCACCTGCATGCCGAAGCTGGAGTTGTGGGCAGAGTGTAAGAGAAGGCAGAGGAAGCGAGCTGGTAGACGAAGGCAAAGGAATGTGCAGATAGAGACAGGAGCTGATGGTGAGAAAGAGCACGAGGTGCAGGAGGGTGGAGAGAGACCTGGTCTCTGGACCTGCACAGGAGGGTTTTCCCTCCCGTTCAAAGAGCAGCTCCGGGATCCGCAGAGCAAATCTCCTTTCTTCCTCTTCCTTGTGCGATCCGTGCCTGCAGCCCAAAGGAACTTACAGAAAGAAGAGCAGACTGATACGGATGCCAAGGATGTAATTGTAGGAAACTAATATGCTTAGTTACTTATTGGTGATAGAATAGCACATTTTTGGTTACCAGTGATTTATTCATGAGTGATGATACACTCAGTACCCTTCTAGGTACAGCGTACAACAAATCAATTTGGTGCCTACTTAGAGTTTTAAAAAGCATATATAATTGACATCAATATGGCTACAGAACAGGAAGCATACTATGACATGCTACAGCACTCACACATGTAATAAATGCTCCAATTTGGGTGAATCTTTGGGTTTTGTGGGGGCTTTCCACTGAGCCGAAATATATTACAGGAGATATTTTTTTGATCTGATATTTTTATGATCTGTAATTGTTAGGAGGAATAAGAATTTAAAAAATGTTTTTACATTATTTTCTCATTTTGTAGTCATTCATCAGGTATTCTTAAAAAGTGAAATTTTAAGGGGCGCCTGGGTGGCTCAGTCGTTAAGCGTCTGCCTTCGGCTCAGGTCATGATCCCAGGGTCCTGGGATCGAGCCCCACATCGGGCTCCCTGCTCCGCGGGAAGCCTGCTTCTCCCTCTCCCACTCCCCCTGCTTGTGTGCCCTCTCTCACTGTGTCTCTCTCTGTCAAATAAATAAATAAAATCTTTAAAAAAAAAAAGTGAAATTTTAAGAATGCATGTATCTGTCATATTAAAAATCTTCTAAAAAGAAGTCTTCTTTTACTGAGTATTAATTCCCAAGATAAAGTCAAAACAGAATCTTTTTTTATTCCTTTGAGTATCTAACCATTATGCATTAGGTCCAGATGCCATCTTAATCTCCATTTCCCTCCCACATGCCATTAGCATCCCCCCAGTATCTCCACCCCTCAGATTTGTAATGGGTGATGCACACCATCTGAACTTCTCATGAGCAGTACAGAAAGAGGCTGGACTTCATCTACAAATGCCATGTGGGCAGAGTATCATGGGAAGTTGAAGGATTTGCCTTGACCATAGACTCATCATATCTGCCTGAGCAGCAGAGAACTTGCCCTGAGAAACCTACTGTGATGGTCCAGGGTAACTAATTCTCTGTAGGTCCAAGGGAGGAAGAACAGACCAGGAGTCCACAGGAATTTCTTTGCTCTTTTCCAAAAAGGAAGACTTAGCAATCAAGGCCCTGATTCACCAGATCATTCGGAGTCTCGTCACATCTCTAGAGGCAGTTCAGCATCATGCAGATGCAAATGACTTTCTATAATGACGAAAAGAATATGGTCCCAGATACCAAATAGACCTCTGTAACCCCTATAACTCTACATAACTTTTGGGGAATTTTAGGTTTTTAGCCAGGTACCATGTTCCCATTACATCCAAATTAGACACTTGACTTTAAAGGGTGAGAAATTTTGTCAGCATTAGATACTTACCAGGCTTTTCAGGGAATTGAAATCTTTTCAATGAGAAAATATTAATTACTGTAATGAGTTTAAGAACAGTCATAGAAATGAAAGAGGAAACATGTAACTTGAACTGCCTTATAGTTAATCAAGGCTTTCTCCAATAAAATAAAATATTAGTCTAGTAATTTTCAGATTTTTTTTCTTTGCATGTTCCTAACTTTTTTTTTTAAAGATTTTATTTACTTATTTGAGAGAAAGAGGGAGAAAGAGAGAGCACAGAGGGAGAGGGAGGAGCAGATTCCCCGCTGAGTAGGGAGCCTGACGTGAGGCTCGATCCCAGGACCCTGGGATCCATGACCTAAGCCGAAGGCAGGCGCTTAACCCACTGAGCCACCCAGACGCCCGCATGTTCCTAACTTCTAATAGGATTG